CGGGGGGGGCGGGGCGGGGAGGGTTGTGCGCGCAGCCCCACCCAGCCCTGTGGGGACGGCGGGTTTCCCCGCCTCAGGGCGCTCTGCGGCAAGGCCACCGGGCCGGAGTCTCCCCTTGGTTGGCTTACGCTCGCTGCCGCCTTTGGGGCCGAGGGAGAATCAGACTTCTTCCCTGTTGCCTGCACGGCACTTCCATCCCTAATTTCCACTGCACAGTAAAACAGTTCATGGGTACGTGGATGCCTAGCAGTTGATGCTACCGGTTTCCCCGCCTCAGGGCGCTCTGCGGCAAGGCCACCGGGCCGGAGTCTCCCCTTGGTTGGCTTACGCTCGCTGCCGCCTTTGGGGCCGAGGGAGAATCAGACTTCTTCCCTGTTGCCTGCACGGCACTTCCATCCCTAATTTCCACTGCACAGTAAAACAGTTCATGGGTACGTGGATGCCTAGCAGTTGATGCTACCGGCTACACCCACCCCCTCTGTGGCTCTGCATTTCAAGTGTGTGAGGAGGTGCTTTAAATGCAGCGCCTCCAGGAGGTAGCTGTTGGGACTGCGGGCTGGCTCTCAGGAGCCTTTAAATGCAGAGCTGCAGCAGGGATAGGTGCTGGGACCTGGTGCAAGCCAGGACTGAGCCAGCCCGACTATGCGCTGCCTTCTAAGCTCCTTAACGTAGAGCTGTACTTAATCACAAAAAATGTTGGCTATATGGTTACCAAATTACAGGCTTCCTAACATCCCAAGTGGAAATATTATCAAGTTCAGTGAGAGAGAAACCTGAACCGTATATCCAAAATCTCTGCTCCCCTTCCAGCCCGGTCAGAACCCCCCCTTCCATCAGGTTCCACTTGTGCAGAGCCTGACTGAAGTTGTTTTGTTCACCTCTAGTTTCAGTTAAGCCCACTTCACGTATTGCTTCTCGGAGTCAGGTTGTGAATTTGTGGAAATTCCGGGAAGCTGCGTTTGTTTTTGTACAGTGTGTTTTAGGATGTGTGTGTTTAAGTTTAATAAGGATGTATTTTACTTCTGTTAACTTTCAAGAGGTAGAACTGGAAACATTGCTTTTCCTGTAAGGTTGGAACTAAGGATGTTACAAGGCGGGTAATTGTTTTGACTGCACAATTACCCAATTTGCATTAGGGGTGTTAAAATTAGATGAATCGACTAATTGAATAGTTGATGGAATTTCCATCGACTATTCAAGCAGTCGATAAGGGCGCTTTTGATTTGAAATGTAGCAAGAGCCTGCTGGGCTGTTACTACATTTCAAAGGTGGAAGTGCTGCACATTCCACCTTCGAAATGTACAAAAGCCCCAGCAGGTTTTTCAAGCATTTCAGAGATTGAAACTCTGAGAATATATAAGAACATAAGAACGGCCGTACTAGGTCAGACCAAAGGTCCATCTAGCCCAGTAGCTTGTCTGCCGACAGTGGCCAGCACCAGGTGCCCCACAGAGGGTGGACCGAAGACAATGATCAAGTGATCTGTGTCCTGCCATCCTTCTCCAGCCTCTGACAAACAGAGGCCAGGGACACCATTTCTATCCCCTGGCTAATAGCCTTTTATGGACCTAACCTCCATGAAATTATCTAGCTTCTCTTTAAACTCTGTTATAGTCCTAGCCTTCACAGCCTCCTCTGGCAAGGAGTTCCCCAGGTTGACTACACGCTGTATGAAGAAGAACTTTCTTTTATTAGTTTTAAACCTGCTACCCATTAATTTCATTTGGTGTCCTCTAGTTCTTCTATTATGGGAACTAATAAATAACTTTTCTTTATCTGTCCTCTTCACACCACTCATGATTTTATATACCCCTATCATATCCCCCCTCAGTCGCCTCTTTTCTAAACTGAAAAGTCCCAGTCGCTTTAACCTCTCTTCATATGGGACCCGTTCCAAACCCCTAATCATTTTAGTTGCCCTTTTCTGAACCCTTTCCAAGGCCAAAATATCTTTTTTGAGGTGAGGAGACCACATCTGTACACAGTATTCAAGATGTGGGCGTACCATAGTTTTATACAGGGGCAGTAAGATATTCTGTGTCTTATTTTCTATCCCTTTCTTAATAATTCCTAGCATCCTATTTGCCTTTTTGACTACCGCTGCACACTGTGTGGAAGTTTTCAGAGAACTATCCACGATAACTCCAAGATCTCTTTCCTGATTTGTCGTAGCCAAATTAGCCCATCATACTGTACGTATAGTTGGGGTTATTTTTCCCAATGTGCATTACTTTACACTTATCCACATTAAATTTAATTTGCCATTTTGTTGCCCAATCACTCAGGTTGGTGAGATCTTTTTGGAGTCCCTCACAGTCTGCTTCTGTCTTGACTATCCTAAACAGTTTGGTACCATCCGCAAACTTTACCACCTCACTGCTTACCCCTTTCTCCAGATCATTTATGAATAAGTTGAAAAGGATTGGTCCCAGGACTGACCCTTGGGGGACACTACTAGTTACCCGTCTCCATTCTGAAAATTTACCATTTATTCCTACCCTTTGTTTCCTGTCTTTTAACCAGTGAGTCCCCTGCCGGCCCCAGGCTCCATGCACTGCTTCCACTTTGAAATGTACAAGAGCCCCAGGGAGGACTCTTGTACATTTCAAAGGTGGAACAGTGCCACTGCCCCCTCCCATGGAGCTGGAGGGAACCGGTTTTTAAGCACCCCACCTTTTCCCTCCTCCTTGCTGCCTCTTTCTGATGGAGACACCAAGTACAGGGGGGCGGCTAGTCAACTAGTGTATTAACTATCCAATAAGCTTTTGCTTACATCCCTAATTTGCATTGAGTACACAATTAGTCGATAAGGGAAAGTACTCAGAGGGAACTATCCCTGCTGTGGCTCTGCAGTTTAAGTGTAGTAAGAGCTCAGCTTGCAGGCAACCTGGCTCCAACTACATTTAAACTGCAGAGCTGCAGCAGGGGTAGCTCTTGGACCCAGTGCAAACAGGGACTGAGCTGGGTTTGCTTAGTCCAGGTTCGCATCAGGTCCAGCAGCTCCTGTGCACCGGGGTCACAGTGGGAAGTTGGGACCCCGCCGTGGACAGGGGCTGCTGCCGGACCAGCCTCCATTCCCCTCCCCTGCACTGCTGCCTCTGTTAGCTGGCTCAGCTCCTGTTTGCCCCCTCCTGTTGCCTTTGACAGAGACTAGGCTTATCAGGTAGTTGACTAATTGACTACTCTTTTACATTCCTAGTTGGAACAACAAACTTTGCCTAAAATTAGACTGATCTCCTCCGCCCCCTCCCCCCCGTTTCCCACCATTCTGTTACTCTAATTCTACATCAGATGCTCCACCGAAAGTCAATGGTGTAACAAATTAGAGAATAAGGCATTATGCTTTGTGTCTCTGTGTAAGTTATCCTAAATGGAATGCCTGTACAGAAAAGTTTATTTTTAACCTGGCATCTGTTTTATGCCCACTTTCTGCCAGCTAATATCAGAGCTGATTTAGATGTTAAAGGTCCTGCACATTTTCAGCTGCCTTGTATCGTGAAGGATTTTAACTTTGAACAGCTCAGCTCCCAAAATGGTGACATATAGATTTATTTTATATATTGGTTTTCCTACAAATTTTTTGCCAATGCATCTTAAAGAAGAATTACCGGACACTGGACAATATATTGTATCAATAATATTTTAATAGCAGGGAAGGTGAGTGCAAGTAGATGGAGTTCGACTTCCTACATGTTGTTCAGTATAAAAAGCTAAATAAAATAGAAAAAGAACAAGTTAAAAATTACTTAGAGAATTTAGATGTCTTTAAGTCACCAGGACCAGATGAAATGCATCCTAAAATCCTCAAGGAACTGATAGAGGAAATATCTGGGCCATTAGCTGGCATCTTTGAAAACTCATGAAAGTTGGGAGAAATTTCAGACTGAAAAAGAGCAAATAGAATGTCCATCTGTAAAAAGGGAAATAAGAACAACCCAGGAAACTACAGACCAATTAGCTCAACTTTTATGCCAGGAAAAATAATGGAAGAAATAATCGAGGAATTCATCTGCAAACATCCGGAAGACAAAGTGATAGGTAACCACCAGCATGGATTTATAAAGAACAAGTCATGTCAAACCAATCTGATAACTTTATTTGATAAGATAACAAGCTTTGTGGATAAGGGGAAGCGGTAGATGTGGTATACCTAGACTTTAGTAAATCAATTGATACAGTCCCACATGATGATACAACCTAGATGTGGTACTATAAGGGTATGTCTACACTTGCAGCCTATTTCAGAATAGCGCTGCAAATGTAGGCATTCGGAATTGCAAATCAAGCCCAGGATTTAAATATCCCGCGCTTGATTTGCATCTTCCGGACCAGGCGCTATTTTTTGAAATTTACAAGCCCGGAATAACTGCCTGCGTCTACACGCGGCAGTGAAACGGGCGTTCGAAATAAAGCCCTATTTCAAACTACCTGTTATTCCTCCTGCAATGAGGTTTAACAGGTAGTTCAAAATAGGGCTTTATTAAACACAGGAATAAATTGCCTAGAGAGAGGTTATGGAATCTCCATCATTGGAGATATTTAATAGCAAGTTAGTTAGACATCGGGGTGATCTAGATGGTGCTTGGTGCTGCTGTGAGGGCAAGGGACACTGGATTTGATGACCTCTCGAGTTCCTTTCCGGTTCTAATGTTCTATGATTCTAAATGTGACTTTGTCGTATCTGCTGCTCACTTGTCACCTTGGGCAAATGACTAATGTTTCCAATCTTGCTTCCATTAAAGGTAATGGGAGTTTTGCCATTAACTTCAGTTGTAGGAAGTCTGAATGTGCTGTTTTACCCAACATTTAAACTAGGTAGGGAAATTGCGATCTCACTCTGTTTATGGCATTTAGGTTCCTGGTGTCATTCTTGTAACTTTGCCCAACTCCTAGTTCAGTTCTTGTAATATTACAGTGATATAGGAAGCAGGACTAATTTTAAAACTTTCCTGAACAAAGGAAATCTAAGATCAACTTATTTTTATTAGTCGGAAAAGGAAAGTCCAGACCACCTAACTGATAAACAACAAAGGAAATTGTGGTGTGAGCATTTCACACGGTACAGATGCAAAGACATTAGATAAGTCAGTCCATGGTGTCATGGACTTTTAGGCTGTGCTCACTGTTGGCTGCTTAGGGTTCTTGGTGGGAACTCCTTTCAGTATCTGAACCCTCCTCAGCCATCCGCTCTGTCTTCAGGATTAAGCCTGTATCTTGCCGAGGGCCCCTTCAGGAATTCCACTCACTCCGGACCCCCAGGCCTCCACACCCAGAGAGAATAATGCAACTCTGTTCTCTAGGTCGGAGTGAGATTCAGGCAGTGTAAAATGGAAAGATTTATTGAGCATCTGACCACAGCATAGGAATTCTTAGGGCCCTCAGGCCTGACCTTCCTCAGCACAGAACGTCTAAGTCTCTCCTGCCTTCAGATGGGCTCTGACTGGCCTCTCTTCCAAGTCCAGAAACCCCGTGCTTTTCAGCTGGGCAGCTGACATCCCTGTCACTAAGCCCCACCTCTTGTCATTTTTCTTCTGTCCTAGATAAGCAAGGTTGTGTGGGCCTCTCTCTTCTCCGCCTCTCTTCTCTCATGTATCATTTGCAACTGGCTGGTCAAGTCACCAGAGTCCTCCCTGCACTCATTGTCATCCCACTGGCCAGAACAGGTTGTGCCATCCCAGCTGGGCCTCCCAGTCACCAGTTGCTGGGGGCTTCATTCTCCAGGCCATTGGTTGGTTGTCCCCACTTAGCACACTGGTCCTCTGTAACAACAAATACCTTCTTCCATCACCTCATTAAACCAGTAACAAACAGGGAAACTGTGTTCCATTCCCTCTGCATGTAAGCCCTTGGAAAAACCCAGAAAATCCTCCACTTCCTTACATATGGTGCAAAAAACCCCAAACCAAAATAAAAACCACATGCATATAGGCTGAGTTAGAATTAACATTGTATTTCCCTATCAATATTTGCAAAATATGTAGTGGAGATTAAGAGCGGTGAGAGAATTTTGAGCCTTTATTTAAATGTGTAGTATTTTAAAAAACTTGGTGTATTTATAGCTCCTTCCAGCCAAGATTTTCAAAACACTTTACACACAACATGCCTTTGTGATATGTTAAATATTATTATTTCCATTGCAGAGACAGAAAAACTTAAACAGATTGGTCAGGTAGATTGTGTACAGTAACAAACAGCTGTTGACAGAGCTAAGCAAAGAACCCAGAACTCTCATCTTTCAGGCCTCTGTCTTTATATGTAAGGTTTTAAAGCTAATTTTCACTCCCTTTTCTAACTTTGTAAACAAAGGAAATGAGTTAACACAATAGCTTGCCTAGTGCTTTCCAGGATGTAGCATGCAGGCAGTGCTCTGTTCACAATCAACATAATAGTTTTGGTAACATGTTCATGGCCTGTCTGGGCTCAGGAAATTTTGAAGAAAGTGAAATACAGTGTCAAAACAAGTACTTTATTACAAAACATTTTCTTGCAGCCTTTTAAAGAAATAACACTTTTATGATTTGATTCAACAAGAATTGTTATAAGTACTCAAAGCCTTTATGTGGCATGTTATAAATGTTTCTTATGTTTCAGGCCTTGTGATCAACCCCCTGCTGCTATATTAAAAGCTCTATTAGAATGAATCTAATTCATTGCAGATACTCTATAATAAGTCTTGACTGTTGGAAATCATGCTAGGGGCTTACATATGGCTAAACGTATAAAGTTAAAACAGTATTTTGCCTCTTAATGTATAGTGTTTTCTCTCCTCTTGCATCCATCAGATTACATTTGATATGCTCCTGTTAAGCTATGGAGCAGGTGAGGACAAATGGGAGAATGGAGGAAATTAACAATTATAGTAATAAGTAACCTAAAAAAAATCCACATACTTGCACACAAATCACAAGGGTTTGGGAGTGGGAGAATCTACTCTCTTATCCCTCATAAATAGTCCTCATACCT